AAAAAGAAAAAAGCCAGAAGTGGCGCTGTGGCTCAAGTGGTAGAGCACTAGCCTTGAGCTGAAGAGCTGAGGGACAGTGCCCAGGCCCAGAGTTCAGGCGCCACGACCAGATGCTACCCCCCCGGCCCCCGCAAAAAAAAAAAGAAAAAGAAAAAGTCTGACTAAGCTGACTAAGACTGAGGAAGGAAGAGACTCCTCATGCATTCAATGGGGCTGGCTTTGTATTGTATTCCAAATGGAATCCCAATACTCACCAAGTGGCAATTTCTCTCTATGGAAAAGTCATTTTTGGGGAGCCCAGAAAACTCACCTTTTCCAGGATGCTTTCTTTCTGCTGTTCTTTGAAGTCTTCCTTCTTGACTTTGAAGGACTTATACAAGAGCTCCAGCTTCGTGGGATCTGCCTGCAGGTGCACCTCCGAGCCCTTGTCATACGCCTCCCAGGCAAACACTAGAGTCAACACATCTTAATGAGGACCAAGCCACACCCACTGCCTGTTTCTTTAAAACAGGCTGTAAAAAGCAGTATGTTATTTCTATGAGCTGACAACAGAAAACCTTAGTATGCAGCACACTTACACTGTGTCTGAGCCATGGAAATGGTATCTCCTGTGTATCTGACGAAGTTATCGCCTGCATAACTCACTCTGTGAATATAAAACCAAACCAAATAAGTCTCAGAGATGGGTTACTCTGTAAGGAAAGTAAATTTGTAAAAGGATCTAATTCCTGCTTATGGCTGGCTCAGAAAAGAACTTTTTCTTACTTTGAAATGTTAGTTCAACGTAGTACTTACTCATCTGGATTCTTCCCTGCATTGGCGTAGGGATTTTCTCTCATCGCTCTAGTTTTGGGATCATAGTAGGCAGAATTTGGATCTAAATTTCTCAAATACTAGAAAAAAAATGTTTAAGGACAGAATTAACATTTGCTTATTGAAAAAAAGATTTCAGCTTCTAAGAGCTGGTCTTGACCTTGTGTGTGTACGTGTGTGCACATGCACACATGTACACTTGTAAGTGCAAGTGAAGCGAGAATATCACTTTATCTTGGAATGACTGATGATATTACAGCAAATAAAACGTACACCCAATATACACAACCAGTAGGCTTGGAAGACTACTATTTTTCACATGTGTAGATTAGGTTGGCAAGACTTACTTTTGCAATATCTTCTCGAATCCTTAGGTTCCGGACTGTAATTCGCCTCTTAGAGTCAAAATTCTGTCCAGGCATGTCAATATCATCTGCATATTTATCTTCATCCTCATCTTCACTGTTGTGATCTTTTTCCTGAAAGAGCAAACCGGAGGATGGTAAGAACACTGGACAGCATTTAGGTCTTGTGGGTTTTTTTTTCCACTTAATTCAACTTGTTTGTTTAACAGCTACTTGAAAATGGTTGAAGTGGCTTGTGTGCATGCATGCAGACAGAATAATGAAGCCTGCTGCATCTGTTCAGGAAAGGGGAAGGAGCAAGGGAGATTGGAGGAGGGGGAGAGAGCAGTTGGAATACATTCTACGTATGTGTGGAGATATCCTAATGAACGTCCCCCTCCTGTATATAACTAATGTATGCCAACAAAAAAACCATTATTACAATTACTCATTAAAAACTTAAAAAGTTAACGTATACCCAAACGAAGCACTTCATACCGTCTGAGAATTTGGTTCCTCTTCTCCCCACTGATGTTTTGGAGAATTCTGTATTGGAAAAGAAGGAAAACATAAGTTTATTCTACTTATTCTATGGATTGAGTACTACTAGAAAAATATAACTGAACCATATAAATCTAACTGAACCATCTATTTCTCAATCACAATGAGCACCAATGTTCTGGCTACAGAACGACTTTGTGAACAGTTTACCTTTGTGTCTACAAAGCCAGAACATTTCTACACAATTTTCATTTATACGGAATTGTAATGACACAGAGTAACAGAAGAGTAAGATGACCAAAGTGCTTGTGCTTGACAAACATTTCCATGTAGTCATCTTTATGCACACGAGACCCCTAACACTTTAATAGATTTCTGTAAAACCAGACCAGAAACGTTACCAGGATCACATAGGTATTTAAAAGTATTCAGAACCAAAAACAAGCTTTATAAACTTTTGGCAATGCAGAAATCTACTTGGTGAAACAATACTGAGATTTATGGAGAGCCCAAAGTCCTTTTCAGAATGAAATACTTTTCTTCACAATTGTTCAGGGACTCCTCCCCCTCTTTCTTCTTTCCCTCTTCTCTGCTCGGCTCCACTCCCCCCCCTCCCTCTCTTTCTTTTGTGCCATCTTGGGGCTTGAACTCAGGGCTTGGGTGCTAAGACTAACACTCTCTTGAGCCACAGCTCCACTTCGAGCTTGGCTTTTTAGTGGTTAAATGGAGATAGACTATCTCTGGCTTTACTGCCTGAGTTGGCCTCAAACCACAATCCTCACAAGTATGAGCCACTGGTGCCTGGCATGCAGGATACTTTCAAAATCTACAAGGCTCTCTTTAACAAGGTTTCAAGATTAAAAGGATAACTTGTGTATAGTATTTCTTGTTCCCTGAAATTGTTTCTAACTAGAGAGATACAAAATAAATTCCCGTTCTGAATTTCATTTTGTTGAAGACACTGAATATTTTGCATTGATAATTTTGATTACTTACAGCCTGTTCCACTAATTTTCCTGAGGCTAATTCTTCTTGTAATTTCTGGGCTTTCAGCGTTCGTTTTGCCTAAGGGGGGAAAATTACATTTTACTTAAAAATGTTCCAATGACTATTTGATTTTCATATGTTTAAAGCGAGTGGCATTAGTATTTTCAGACTAGGTCACTGAACAAGAGATCTATTGCAGCCGCAGGCCTATGACCTTCAAACTCATGTTTGAGGCAGGCATTAATGTGAGCTTGAAGGAGACGATAAAAGAATGAGAGAAGCCCCAGCCGTTTAAACAGGGCTACCTGGCTACTCACTGAGGACCTGTGCTGTAGAAATGACAACGGCGTAACTGTCAAGTCGTCAAACCCCTCCCCCCACCCCCCCAACCCAGAGTTCCGCTCACTAGGTCGACTTTGGCGTACTCTTCCACGATTTTCATGTGTTCCTCTGGATTGTAGCCATTCCAGCGATCTCTCTTCCCGTCGTAGTCAAATGTGAGCTGAGGCTGGACGTGCTCATCTGGCGCTATGTTAGTCCCAGTAAACTTGGCCCCAACTCGTCTGGGTCTCTGGAAAGCATAAGAGACCATTTTACCCTAAGTACCTGAGGCCCAGGAACTAAGCGGCCATTACACACTTGGGGACTTTTTAGAATCTGTTTACTTAACAAAAGTCTGCCACCAAAACAGTCTGATGTACTTTCACCCAGATTCATTTTTATTTAATTTGTGCCCACCTACGGGTTATCTTAGAGAAAGAGAAGTTCTCTGACAAGGGAAAGAGACTGGCAGCGATCTGTAAAGCTCTCAAAGGCGCGCAGTACCTCAAAGCAGTCCTTCTTCTTGTGCGTCATGGCCCCACAGTTCTCGCAGGCGCCTTTGCGGTACTTGGTGGTTATGGAATTCTGTCGAAGGGCAGAAAGAAAAACACAGCCGATGTTTTATTTCCTTACTCATCAAGTTACAAGTGACTTTGGCTCTCATGGTTATCTTGTTTGCTGAGCCCATTTATTTGTTAAGAAGAAGACCGAATGCCAGGCACTGGTGGCTCAGGCCTATTAATCCTAGCTACTTAGGAGGCTGAGATCTGAAGATCATGGTTCAGTCAGCCCAGGCAAGAAAATCCATGAGACTCTTACCTCCACCAGATTACCAAAAAGTTAGAAATGGAGCTGTGGCTCACGTGTGAGTGCCTTGCGCAAAAGCGGCTCAGGGATGCTGACTAGGTCCTGAGTTCAAGCCCCAGGACCAGCACAAGAAACCAAAACCAAAACCCAAAAGTACCTTCCTATGAAGACATACATAAGATGACTATGCAGGCCAGGCTGACCTTGGATTCACTATCCTCCTGCCTCAGCCTCCCAAGGGCCACACTCAGCTGAACACATACCTCTTTCACGCCCCTCTTGTACCATTCTGCAGATGAACTGAACTGCTTCTGTTTCTCGGGTTGTGGCCTCTGGTGCTTTAAGGTGGGTCTTTTCGATGGATCGATGTACCACGGTACTGAAGAAATATACTGAGGGATGTGTGGATTGATATCTCTGTAATAAAATTTAAAACAAAATATCTAAGAAAATCCTGAAAATAACAATAATTACAAAGGCAGCGCACAGAGAATCTAGGAACAGAAATACTGCAGTGGGATGAGAAAGACGATATAGGCGCTGTGCTGATAACAGAATAAAGGGCAAGGAAGAATGAAGAGGTGAATGGTACAGTGGAGGAGGTTCTCAAGGTGCTAATGACAGTGCTGTAACTAAGAGGAGGAGAGGAGGAGCACAGGAATGTGCTAGAAAGTTACATCTATCAGGGCAAGAAGTCAAAAGAGAATGAATTAAAAGACAACTGATTAAAATAATCCTGTGGAGTGGTAGAGTGCTAGCCTTGAGCTAAAGAACTGAGGGACAGCGTCCAGGCCCAGAGTTCAAGCCCCACAACTAACAAAACAAAAACACTGGGGTTCAGGGTAGACTGGACAGGATGAGAAAAACAACAACAGCTCTTTACTGTAGATTCTCTGACATTATTAAAACTTATGCTTACGTGTTTCATAAATAATAACAAAAATTCTGCAAATGGTAAGAATAGTTTGTTATCAAAGCACAGGATGAGAACTTGGTAACCTTAATAAAAGAAGACTCTGGATTTGATAACCTTGTAAAGCAGATAAGAATCTGGATTTTTGAACAAACTGAACCGGTAAAAAATGAAAAGTACTTACTTTCCTTCTTCATCCACTTCTGCAGGAGCATTACCCAGCTTCCGCTGTTCTTCTAGCTCCTTCTTCTTCCTCCAGTCCTCTCGAGTCATCTTCTTTGGTTCCTCTAAACTCAGTTCTTTGGACCCCGACAGGGGCGTGGCATTAACTGTATCCACAGCTGCCGACGACATGGTGAACTGGCTTCTGAGAAAAGAAAGAACTGGTTTACAGTTTAAAAAAAAGGTGGGGGGAGCTGGGAAGGTGGCTCAGTGGTAGAGTGCTTGTCTTGCATGTATGAGGCCCTGGATTCGATTCCTTAGCACCGCATAAGCAGAAAAAGGCGGAAGTGGTGTTGTGGCTCAAGTGATAGAGTGCTAGCCTTGAGCTGAAGAACTGTGGGGCAGGGCCCAGGCCGAGTTCAAGACCCACAACCCACAGACACAGACAGAAACAAATGGCAACATGTCAGTTTTATGTTTTCCTGTACCTGTATTAAAACAATAGAATGTGTCAGGTAGGTGGTACACACAATCCTGATCCTCAGGAGGCTGGAGCAGGAGAATGGGGAGTTTCAGGCTTGTCTGGGCTACATAATGAGTTTGAGGCCTGCTTGACTTAAATAGACCCTGTTGCAAATAAACAAAAGAGAGAGAAAAAAAAAGGTAAAATTATGCTTACACAATTTTACTTAATAGATTCAACGAATTATAATGTCAAATTCCAACCCACATTACAAAAGATCAGGGGCTGCGAAATTGGCTTAGTGGTAGAATGCTTGCCTGGCATGTATGAAGCCCAGGGTTCGAGTCCTCAGTACCACATACACAGAAAAAGCCGGAAGCAGCGCTGTGGTTCAAGTGGTGGAGTGCTCACCTTGAGCAAAAGCTCAGGTACAGGGCCCAGGCCTTGAGTTCAAGCCCCAGAACTGGCCACACACACACACACACACACAAAAGCCCCAGAACTGGCCACACACACACACACACACAGACACACACACCAGAGCTGGTGCCCGGAGCTCACGCGCGTAATCCTAGTTATTCAGGAGGCTGAGATCTGAGGATCGCGGTTCGAAGCCATCCGCCAGCTAAGTCCATGAGCCTTCTATCTCAGATAAACCACCACGACCCCCCCCCAAAACAACAACAACAACAAAACACGAAACCGAAGCCGGAACTGGCGCTGTGGCTGGGGGGTGGGTAGCGCGCTAACCCTGAGCACAAACACCCAGGGGCAGGGCCCGGGCCCTGGATTCCAACTCCAAACCCGCTGAAAACCAGTGGGTACGGCCCCCCTCCTCCCCCCCCGGACTCCGATCCCCGGGATCACAAGCTCTCGAGGGAGACTCGCGTCGGGCGTCCCGGCGGGCCCAGGCCGGGGCCCGCGCGGGGCGCCGTCCGCGCTCTCCTCGCCCCTGCAAGGGGTCTCGGGGCTCCCGGGCGTTCCCCCCACCCCAGTACCGCCACCCCCAACTCCTCCGCACCCTCCCTCACCCGGTCGGGAGCTCCCCACGCAACCGCTCGCCGACAGACCAGGAAACCCAGCCGCCGATGTTTACTTCCGGCTCCCCGGCCTTCTCCCAGCAACCACTGCGACAGCTTTCGGACGAGCGACGCGTGCGCGCTAACGAGCACTCGAGGCGCTCACGCTCTTTGGCTCCGGAGGTATCGCGAGATTTGGGCAGCCGGTCGGCGGAGTGGTTTACGTCTCTCCTGGCTGTCGTTTTTGTTTTAAAGTTTTACGCCTTTGTTGTGGTCTTTTACGTCGTCGCTGCTTTCCGGCTGTCAGCGTGGGAACCCTGTTTCATTCATTCCGAAGCGCCGAAGTTTAGGACGGCGAGAAGAAGACAGACAAAAATGAAACTAGATCTCAGACAGACGGCGGCTGAAGACTCACCAGACGTCTTTGAAGGGAACGCGGAAGTTGGTGACGTCTCCAAGGAAAGCACAGTTAATTAACGTAGCAGTCAGGAGGAGGCTGATTCCTTGGGGATGCTTGTCTCTCCTCCCGTTTATATCAGTCACTGAAACGAATTTACAGATAATTTACACTTGTAAAACGTGAAAAACAAAACAAAACAGGAGCCAGGAGGACCAAGGGCATGTTTCTGGTAACTTCGACACACCTGGTCCACAAGCAAACTGGGGTTTGGTTTTATTCGAATACTATAAGACAGTTGTCATGTTGGAAAACAATTGTGTTGACACCTTGGTTCTCCTTTGGAAGTACTGTATAAATTAAGAGGATGGAAAATATACTGTTTTTTGTGGTGGAATTTCTGTCAAGACTCACTTGCTTCTCTTTAAAGGTAAATGTAATAGCTAAACAAAAAAGTCCAGAAAAATTTTTGTAAATAAAGTTTACAGTGAGTGCCATTTAGGAACGTAGAGGATTAATTTTAATCTTAAAAGTCAGCTGAAGAGAGACACTTACTGAAGGGGAGTAGGCAGTGGATCACTCAGACTTTTTTTTTTCCTTCCTGAAGTTCGCTGATGAGTTTTGCGGTCTTTTCAGCCAGGCAGGAGCCAGAGAGCACATTTCCCAGAAGAATTGGAGAAGCTGGGTAAGAGGTTCTCTCTGGAAGATTCTGAGATCAGGTCTGGATGATTGATTGCTCTGATAAACTGGGTTAGGAGAAACTGGGATTAACTAGGGACAGCGTGATAATAGTTTATCAGGTGTGTAAAGTATTCACCAGTAATAGGTAGATGTAACAAAGCTGGTCTGGTGGCATCGTTAGGAAGAGAACCATGGCCATTCAAAGAAAAGGTGGGTAATGGTTTTCATCTGCTGAATCACTGAGAAAACTCAATGGCTTTGGGTGTTTGCTGTTGAAGAACAAGGAGGAGACCTAAGGAGTTAGTCTAGAAACTTTAGGAGCTAGAGCAGGCCCACTTGTGAGCCCCACATATCATCCAGGCTTATTCTAAAAATAAGTTACAACTTTTGTGTGTTGATGAGGCCGTACAAAGTTGTATAATTTAAAGACATTGTGAGAAAATGAGGGGCTGAGGGAATAAAATGAAGGCACAAAAAGCCTGTGTGTGTGTGTGTGTGTGTGCGTGCGTGCGTGCGTGCGTGCGCCAGGCCTGGGGCTTGAACTCAGGGCCTGGGCGCTGACCCTAGGCTTTTTTTACTCAAGGCTGGCATTCTACTACTTGAGCCACGGCTCCATTTCTGGCCTTTTGATGGTCAATTGGAGATGAGCATTGCATGGACTGTTTTGCCCTAGTTGGCTTCGGATTGCGATCCCCACATCTCAGCAGCTAGGATTATAGGCGCGATCCCCGGATCTCAGCCTCCTGAGCAGCTACGATTACAGGCATGATCCTCAGATCTCAGCCTCCTGAGCAGCTAGTATTACGGGCGTAAGTCACCCAGGGCTGGGTTTAAACCTTTTATTTTTACCCTGTCGGTTTTTAATCCGTTCCACGGCGCCATTTAAACAAAAAAGGCCCCGGGGCAATGAACGGCAGGGTCCAGTGGGCCCGGCGGGCCTTCGGGAGCGCCTCAACCCTCGGTTGTTTACATTGGTTTCCCGGGAAACAGCAACTTCCGGAGAAGGCGTTCTGAGGGCGGGGCCTGTCAGCTTAGGCTCCTCTCATTGGTTCCTCTCTGAGGTTCCATCCTTTTCCCCCGAGCCCGCCTCCTCGCGGACGGACCAATCGGATCCCGAGTTATGGTTTAAACGGCGTGTGCGCGGCGCCGCTGGGGTTGCGGCGTCCTGGAGTTTGGCTGTTGGGGTCGGTTCGGTGAGCTCGTGGGCGCGCGTGTCCGCGTGGGGTGAGCTCGGGGCTGGCGTGGGCCGCGGGGAGGGGAGGAGGCGTCCAAGCGCCTGCTCTGGAGTTGGGAGCGGGTCTGAGGACTCAGCCCCTGGGCGAAGCGTCCATTGCCAAGCTCGGCCTTCGCCCTCTGCTTACCTGTGTGGGGGGGG